AATCCCCTCATTCCTGGCTGCCACCCCATGATCCTAGAGTTCTTGCGGGAATGGGCTGCTCTGGGGCTTGGTGAAAAGCTGGCTGCTGACTGTGCCAGGCCTGGCTCTCCACAGGGTGATTGTGTTCAGAGTAACTTGACCTTGAAATGGGCAGAGCTGACATTTGAACCCTCCCTCAACCCCCACTCCCCTAGACCTTGCTTAACCCTTTCATGTCCCAGGGCATCACACTGGATATTTGGTGTGTGACTTCTTTCTGCCTTTTAGATTTTGTTGTTTTTGTTCTTCCCCAAGGCAAGCCAGTAACTAGAAGCTCTAGGTCACAAGAATAGTTTCAGATAGCATTGGTTAGTGCCTCCCACTACTCCTGGAAAAACACAGATTTCCTCTGTCTCTGTTTGCTTAGGATAATGTGCTCAAAAGTTACACTGGGCAGGTTTCTACCCATCCCGGAGTCTGAAGAAGCCATCCTTTCAGTTGGGTTATCTAGTCTCGGCAGTAGAAGCCGCATGGTTGTCATACCCCTCTCTAGCTTGCAAAAGCACCTCCCACCTGATAGCTAGGGCCTCTCCAGCTCTGCAGCTCCTTCAGCAAGATTCCTCTTTGGCCCACTGAGCATTCATCTTCCCTATGCAGAGGAAAGATGGGTGGGGTTTAATAATGATCGCCACCTATCAAGCACCTGCTATGCACCAGTCACCTGCTGGGTCACCTGAGCACTTTGGTACATTCTTCATGACTTTCCATCTACAAGGTGCTTACCAGTCCAGATTACAGAAGAGGAAACTGAGGACTTAAAGCCAGAACAGACTCCAAGACTTCACCGGATACGGCTGGGCTGTGATTTGCGTGTGGCTCCTGCCCACCGTGGTAAATGGTATTGCCCGGGCTGCAGCAACTTGGGAGCCCAGGAATTGGTTCATGGGTGTTCCCTGGCCCCTAACGTGACTCAGCCCAGTATCATCCTTATGTGCAGTCTCATCCTCAGAGTATGATCAGGTGTGGGCCTGACCCTGCCTCCTGTGGGGAGGAGGCTCTCACGAGTTCACAGTTAGCCAAGCCTTCCTTGGTTCTCCAGCCAAGTTTCTGTCCCTTTGTTTAAGCAATAAGACTTTCACCTTTGTTTATTCCTGGGCAAGGGAAGGTGGGGTGCCCCGGAGCCCCGGGCTCAGCCAGTGTCCAGTGGGCTTTCTGGTTGGACTGAAGGTGAAGAATGGGTGGGTGATTGTGACTGAACCTGGCTGTGTTTAGGACGTGGTTTAGAGAAAGGTCTCCGTGTGAATCTAGTGTTCTCTCCTAACTGTGACCCTCGGATGAATGACTCACCTGTGGGTCAGAAAGTCTCATGGTGCTGTGCTGTTGATTAAAGGGCCTTCTACGGAGGCAGAGCCTGCTATAGAGTGGAGACTTCTGCTAGTAGTCACCCCAATCCCCATGTTATTCCTGCCATGATGAGCAGTGTGGGACTCTGAGATAGGATCAGTGGCTTCTCATCCTGGTTCAGGTAACAGCCTGTGTTTTTGCTGAGAGCCTTGGGGTCAGCCAAGGCTCTGGAAAGGGGCAGGGGAGGCCACTTAACTAGGACGGTGAGAGACCTAGGTTGTAAGCCCAGCTCTGCCGCTATAGCTGCCTGGCTGACCTTGGCAAAGTAATCTGTCTCAGAGGTCATAAAACTAGACGGTTGGGCTCTGGCCTCAGATGCCTTCTGCTGGCAGGTGTTACTTCCTATAAAACAAAGTATACCTACCTCTGTTCTTTTCCCTGGACAATTTGGGAAAGAATCGGGATCTCCAGTTATCGGCACTAGGTCAGATTTCTATCAGCTACAAGGCCAGCAAGAGCCTGCAGAGACCCACCCCACCGCCTTATTCATCCCGCTTCTGGCTGTGTTTGTGAAAGGGACAAAGATGAGACATGAGGACCCAGAGGGTGTGCATGTGCGTGCGTATACACGCGGACACACGTTCCTGGGCAGGGTTGGGTGAGCTGAGGTGAACAGACCACAGCTGTAGTCAGGAGCAAGACTGGGTCCTTCTCTGATTAGGGTTGGGTCTGCCTGCTGGGTGGCCTGGCTTTTCAAAGCCACCCCAGACATCTGAATGGACTTTGTTTGAAAAGAGAGTGGGGAAGGGAAAGTTATTGGTACCTTCTCAGCCTTACAAACAAAACAAACCATTGCTTGCAATCTCTTTGGGCATGGTTGGTTCTGTCTTGACGCCTTGTCTTCACTGGCTGCTGTCCACTTAGGAGTTTTTTTTCCGCTTGTGAGAGATTGTGAGCACAGGAGGAACCAGAAAGGGGCCAAGAGGGGGTGTCTTCCAAGCTCCAGGAGGCTGAGTTTCTCATGTCCCCTCACCTGTCCCAGAAGCCTCTGACTCATTGAAGAGGTAAATTCTTGCATCCTCTCCACACCTTTGAAGAGTTTTCCAACCTCTGGAAGGAAGGGTCGGATCCTGGCTGGGCGGTGGATGCCAGTGTGATATTTGTTCCTTTCCTCTGGAGTTTAACATTAAGATGGGGGTGGTGGGTAGGGGGGCTGCCCATGGTGGTACAACTCCTTAAATCCCAGTACTGAAGAGGCAGAGGCCAGCTTCTTAGTTGGCTACCTAATGAGTGCCAGGCCAGTCAAGGCTACCTAGAGAGAGACCCTGTACCCCTAAAAAAGGGGGTAGGAGGGGACCAGGTGTTCCAAAGGGGGCTGAACCAGGAATACCTCCTGGCTTTAGCCTCAGTTTACCACAGTCAGATCTTGACAGCTTGCTTCCCCCCCCCCCCCCCCGTCTTCAGTTTTTCTAATGGAAGGTCGAAGTAATAGCTACCAGCCCACGTGATAGGCAACGAACATGCTTATCTCCAATCTCCTGGGCTGTTTTGAAACACCCGGAACACTTTCCCATATTAAGGAGGTTTGGTGTGTGGCTGACATTCCAAGGCTCCTTCCTAGAGGCGAGGTGTGGGGTAGGTCAGACCTGAGCTGGAATCTAAGCCCCCAGGCTAAGAACCTCCAAGTCTGCCCTGAGGAATTTGAACGTGACCAGTCTTTCAGGCTTCGGTGGTCAAAAGTATCTCTACCTGCCTCTCCTTTCCTCAATCTCCTCATGCCCTCACCCCCAGCTGGATTAGACACACCCAGTTAGGGTTCCTGTCTAACCCAGGACGGGCTGGTAGCCCTAAGCACAAACGGGTTCCTGTGTTATGTCTGTGGCTAGAAGCCCAGGTGATCTCATGCCTGACTGTTGGTTTTACTGGTCACTTCTGCTTGTGTACCCTTAGAAGAAACAAGTCACCTTTCCGAGCTGGGGTTTCCACCCTTGCCCAAAGGGTCTGCGTCATCCCAAGTGCGTGCATGTCAAGGCCTGGCACAATGTAAGCCATGGAGGCCTCGCTGTTGCGGATTTTCAACCCTAGGGAATTTGTAGCGAGGCGTTGGGTTGGGACCAGGCCTGCCGTCTAGGGCACTTGGTACAACCACGGAGAAGCCCTCTCGCTGTGCTGCCAAGCCAAACCCACAGGCACGGGCCCTGTGCGGGGGCTGGAATTCCAGTACCAGCAGCACCACAGCTCCCGATTCCGGAGTCATGAAGTCATCTGTAAGCAGGGCTTAACCCCTGCCATCTCCCCACTCCCACACTGTACCAAGCGCATTGATTTCCCTGCCCTGGGGGAGAGAGGGATGCCTTCCTGACTTCCTCCCAGTTCCCTTCCCAGAATCTAGTTTCCTGAGCCGGGGGTGGACAGAGGGCACAGTCCGCTCTTGCCTCCTCTCCCCGGAAGCCTGTGGGAGAGAGAGTGGAGGAGGAAGCCTGTTCTCTAAGCTGCTCTCTTGTCACTCAATCTCGAGTCCCGGGTAAACGGACATTCCTTCTCACCATCCCAACTGTGTCACTGTGGTCTTGGTTAGGTGAGGGACATCCTGGGGCATCCTGGGACATGGCTGGCAGACACAGACCTGGTCTCTTTCTACCCTAAGTTTTAGGTGATGGTAGGGTAGTTTGCTACCTTGTTTCTGGTTTGAATTCTCTTTAAGAATTCTGTGAAAGAACAGGTCTGAATGCCTGGTTCATAGTCTGAATTTCTAACCAAAGCTTCATCCCCTGGGGACTGGAGGGGGGAAGGCCTGGAAAGAGTGACCAGTGACCAATGACCCTTGCACCTGGTTGTTTACAGGAACAAGCCTGAGTCCAGCTAGTATTGGAAGGGCAGTGGGCACTAGTGCATCCTAGGGCCCTAAAGAAGCTGGGCTAGGAGGCAGGGTGGGGGAGGAGCACTTCTTGGATAGTTTTCTTTTAAAAGCTGTTTGGTGGGAATTGACCACAGGCTCTGGGTTGGCTAGCTGGGTCTCCTTGGGATCAGAGCGGAGTGACATGATCTGTGGGAGTAAGGGTCTCTGTCCCTTCCACCGAGCTGGCAGAAGACTAGACATTTGAAAGAAGTCTGAATTCAGGAGTGTGCCTTTGAGTCACCCTGTCTGAGCCCTGTAGCTGTCTTGGGGTGTGAGTGAACCTGCCCTGCCTCTTTCAGCCCAGTCTGACTCAGTTGGGAACATGTCCCTGACTGGGCTGCCTGTGTGCGTGGGAGCCTCTGGCCCTAAAGTCAGGTGGCCTTTCATGAAGTTCTGCCTGTTGCTTGCCACTTGTACCACCGGAAGAGAATGAGTTATATAGCCTTTTGTGCCGGGTCTTAGTTGTAAAATGATTTAACAAGTAAAATGATTTAACAACTACTGTTACAAGCAGCCTGAAATACTGTAGGTGGCTCAGTAAATGATACCTAGAAAATATTGATAGCTTTGTTACTGCTTGAAATATTTTTATTAACCCAGAATGGTGAAGAGTCTTGTATAGGGTTACACAGTAGATGGGGGACAAGACCCAAGGCTTCTTATCTGGTCTTATAATCCTGATTCACTTTGTTTCTGGGGCACTCTGTCTCCAGGAGTGTTCTGAGGGAGGAGGAAGATGTACCTTTTGGATCATGTTTGAAACCACCTCTCTTCCTAGATTCGAGAGACTGAGGTCATAGACCCCCAGGACCTCCTGGGTGACAGATACTTCTCTGGAGCTCTCCCGGATGATGAAGATGCTGGGGCCCTCGAGCAGGACTCAGATGACTTCGAGCTATCGGGTTCCGGAGATCTGGGTATGGGGGTGTGCTTGGGCAGGCTGGGGGACCCTGGGCTGCAGGGAATTGAAGTAGAGATTTTCCTACAGTACTCCTCCCCACCACCTCAAAAGGGGAAACAAAAGTAACATTTTCCCACCCCCAGGGTCCGTGGGGTGAATTGTAAACAACTTTGAATTCATTCCACTCTTGAGTTTGCAGGCACTAGTCCGAACCTGTCCACGAGGCTCCTCCCTCTGGTGGAGGGTAGAGGGAGGTTGAGGAAGGGCCTAGAGTGTTTTCCGCTCCTCCTCCCTCCCTCCCCCCCGCCCCCAAAGGAAAAATACTGGCTCAAAAGTGTGGGTGGAGTGGGAGGCGTTGTGTGTGGGCTGAGACGTGGAGGGGGAGCCGGAAACAAGCCCCTGCTTCAGATGAGGGCGGAGGGAGGGAGGCTTCTTGGGGTGTGACCAGGTATCGGGGCTTTCATGGGCTTTGACTTTGTGGCCTCTGGATCAAACAGCTGCTAAATGTCCCTCTCGGTCTTCAGGGCCTTTGCATAGTCCAGAATTTCAACCTTGTCTTCTATTTTGAGCCTTGGTTCTTACTATGTAAGACGAGTGTCAGAGGATTGTGAATCAGTTGTGGACTGAGCTGAGTTCCAGGTTCTTAGCACTTACCATGAACTTGGTATTTTTAGACGTAAATTTTGTATACGGTGTATACTGTGATGTGTGTATTTATGTTCTAGGACAGTCTACAAAGGGTTGTAGCCAAGAGGCAAGCTAACTCTTTGCCTCCTGTGGTTAATTTTTTTGTTTGCCGGTAAGTCGTGTTTAGCATTACAGTTAACTGCTTCCTTCCCAAAAGTTAATTCCCTGGGGAGCTTGTTCAGATGTAAATTTTAGTAAATGTGGCCCTGTCCTCCCAGATAGAGATTGAGCCTAGGGCCTTGCTCTATCTTTGACCTTGCTTTCTAACTGTTTGAGACCAGTTCTTCCGATGTGTCTCTAGCTGGTCTTGAACTCTTTGGGTATTCTGGGATTTCAATTGTGTGCCACTTTGTCTGGGGACATTTTGTCTTTCTAACCAGCTTCCAGATCCTGCTGTTTCTTTCCCCGTACTTCAGATAGGAAGGGTTTAGACCTTGGAAAGCACTGGACAGCTCTGTGTATTAGCTGGGTACACACTGCTGTGAAAGAGCCAGGTGTCCCCGGAGTGTCTTGTTTCAGTATAGGTGACTAAAATTGCTCGTGAGGTAGGACTCCACTAGCCACAGCTGAAGCAGTGGGTTCTGGAACATGATGGACCTTGTGTTCACACAGCTGTTCTTCTAACCTTGCAGATGACACAGAAGAGCCCAGGACCTTCCCTGATGTGATTCAACCCTTGGTGAGTGCTGCCCCCCCCCCACTCCCCACTTTCTCCCTCTTTGCTCTTGCTCTCCTGAGAGTGACAGAAAACACAACTGTGTGAATGCATAGTGAGATCTGACTCCATTTTCTTTTTCTTTTTTTTCTTTTTTTTCTTTTTTTTTTCTTTTTTATTTTTTTCGAGACAGAGTTTTTCTGTATGGTCCTGGCTGTCCTGGAACTCACTCTGTATACCAGGCTGGCCTCGAACTCAGAAATCTGCCTGCCTCTGCCTCCCAAGTGCTGGGATTAAAGGCGTGCGTGCGCCATCACCGCCCAGCCTGACTCCATTTTCTAAGAAGGCTTTTTCTTGGGGTGCCAGGCATACTTGGGACAAGCATGGACGGGCATGCCTTCTCCTCAGAGAAGATGCTCACTGTCGAGCCCAGCCTCTTCCTTGTGCATTTGTGACAGTTCACCGGCACTGTTTTCAAGTTGCACGTGAAACTCTGAGCCCTCGAAGTGGTCCTGTCTTTCTGCATCACCTCACCCCTGTGTCAGTTTTACAGCTGCATTCTGTTCCTCTCATTGACAAAATGGTCAGCAATAATTTTTGGTACCCTTAGAGCACAATAACTTTTTGGTACTCCAACATGCTTGATGCACACTCTGCCTTAGGAGAGCGTTGGATGTGCAGGATTGCCTTCCTGAGGGGCAAGTGGGTATCGCCACATGACCTGTACTGGTTGCTCGAGTGTATACCTCCTGAGGCGTGAAGGCTGCTCCCCCCACCCCGTGCCCCTGCCTGTGCTCATCCTCATGTGAACAGATGTGACTCTCTCCTGTCACCTTCTAGGGTCCCCTTCCACCTAGCTTGAGGTGTGCTCAGTGTCCTTCCTTTCTCTTTCAGGTGCCACTAGATAACCACATCCCAGAGGATGCACAGCCTGGCATTCGTGTCCTCTCAAAGTCCAAGGAACTGGAAGAGAATGAGGTCGTTTCCGAAAGGATCCCCTCGGATGGGGATGACATATCCAACAAAGTGTCCATGTCCAGCACTGCCCAGGGCAGCAACGTTTTTGAGAGAACTGAGGTCTTGGCAGGTAAGGCTGCTTCCTTCTCTAGGGTTTCTGAGAGAAGAGGGAAGCAGATAGGTGTGCCTGTAGTCTTTTAGTTTGCTTTGGGGCAGCTAAGGGCTTTATCTCCCTTAAGGGGTGGTTGGGAAGGATAATCAAATGGATATCAAAGGCTTCTAAGGAATAGAAAAGGAATTGTTTCCTTAAGCCCCTCAGGTGTTTTTCAAAGCCCTTTCCTTGATTGAGTTGGGCATCCGGAGTTAATTATTTAAGGGTTAATTTCCATTGAAAGCCTGGAGGCCCCGGGTGGAATTAGATTGGCTCCCCTTTTACCCTCCTATCTCTCGATAGGCTTATGACCTTGGCCTGGTGCTTTTTGAATAGCCTGCCTCCATTTACGTCTCTGTGAAATGGGAAGGATGGTGCCTCCTTGAATACGAAATTGCTTTGCAGATTGTAGAGGGCTGTTCTGTCCATGTTATCGCTGGAGCTCTCATTGTCCCTTAGTGAGGACACAGGATGCTTTTATGTTACAGAGCTAGGACACGATCTTTGTCAGGGAATGTGCTGCCTTGCATGATGCTTTAGTGGGGGCTGTGTCAGGCCTGGATGAGGGACATTAGTGTGTGTGTCGGGGGAGTGGTAGTGCCTTTCATTTTGGCAGCTCAAGATAGGGGGCAGGGCATCTCCATACCAGCTTGTTGAGGAAGAAGCAAACTTTCCAGTTGAGCAGGAGGTCTGGAAGGACTGGCTGGTGAGGCGGTGGTGGTGCTGCAGGCCCTTGCTAGGTATTTCCTGTCTCCTGGGAACCAGTTGGACCAGAGGAGACCGAGGTGTGACTACAGAGCCCTATGCCCACATGTCACTGCCCTGCCTCCCTCCTTCAGGATCCCAATGGCCCTGTCTTGCAGACCCGGTGACAGGGTCACAGTGTGGTCCTGCCTCTGGTCTGTCGACATGCTTTTCCTTCACCAGTCCTTGTGTTGGCAGCTGTCAGAGCGAGGGCCCTGGAGACCGTTAGGCCTTGTTTTGAGCTTTGTGGAAAAAACTGTTCTGTCATGCTTCAACCGCCGAGTTTCACTCTCGGCGCCGTTTAGACCTGCTGGCTACAGGTTTTATTTACACATGCGGAGTTGGAGATCAGGTTCATTAGTCTTTTTTGTTTGCTTCTCAAGAAAACTTCGAAAACCAGTCATTCTTCTTCTTCTTTGTGAGAAGACTGAGCTCCCTGCTCCGAATCACAGAACAAGAGGGAGAACGAACACCAGGCTATCCCTTTGTTTTTACACACACACACACACACACACACACACACACACACACACCCGTCACAGTGGTGTAAGATCTTTCCTAAAAAGATCCGTTTCCCTAGGCCCTGTGACCTCACCATTGGAGGAGCAGTGAAGTCTAGCTGGAAACATCCCCTCCAGTAGCTTTTAAGCAGCACCTAGAAGTTCTGCCGAGTGTGTGTCCCGTGGCTCCTGTGTACTCACTGGAGACCCCTCCAGAATCCTGAAGTGGAACCAGGTCACAGAGCCTGACATGCTGAGCTCCATGTGTGGATCTGGAGCACAGCTGGCTTCTGGACTTCTGGCTGGTCCTTGCCTCTTCAGGGTCTCCCAGTACAGATCAAGGGCCTGAAGGAGGAGTGGAGTTACCGGAGGGAAGATGCTGGAGACAGGCAGGAGGTAGCTTACACTTTTTTCTGGTACCCGGCAGTACTTTTGTTCTTGGTTGGTTTGTTGGTAGAAAAACTCTCGTTGGTTCTTCTGGCTTCCCTGCTCCATTCTTTGCGTGGATGTGTAGTGTGCGCAAGGCTGGGAAATTAATCTTCTTAGCCTGGGTTAAACCGAATTAGGAGATTCAATCTGCCACAGGAAGGATTCTGTCCCTGTCCCTAACAAACAGAAGTGAGTCATTCAGGCCAGCTGGTGTGGATAGACAGATGCTCACCGATGCTCACCCAAGTGGAGAAGTCTACCACTACTTGGGCCCAGCCAGGAGCTCTTCACTGAGCTGGATGGTGAGGACCACTTATTAAGCACTTTGTGTTGTTCAGGCCCCGGTGAGGTAGTAAGGAACAGAGAAAGCCCGAGGTCTACATACAGCTCATGGGGGCTTGAGTATAGGGATTGCATTGGGTGCTTCAAGTAGATTATTTTAGTCTGAAGGAAAAAAAATATGAGAAAAGGTTTTGTTGTATGTTGCAATGAGAGAGAGGAAGAAGCTTGCCTCGTCAGAAACAGTAGTTGGGAAAGGTGTGAGGTTCAAGGAGAAACCAGTAGCAATCACTGTTTAAGACGCTGGAACACAAACTATGAGAATCGGCAATTGTTTGTGTTATGACAGTGTAGACATTAGCATGTTCTGCGTGTTTGTAGAATATGATGCCGACCTATGGATGGATGCATGGGTCTAGGTGAGACAGAGTGTACTCCATAGTAAGGACCGAAGTGTCTACATGAGTGGCTGCAGCCCGCCATTTTCCTTGGTCCTGGCTTAATCCTAAGCAGTTGCTGGAGAGTCTACGTGATGTTTGGCATGAGCCTGAGTGTTGGACTAGGGCAGATGTGGTGATGGAATAGTGGTGTTGCTCTGTGGTCCACTCTAGCTGTGATCTTTTTACTTCATCAGCGCCTGTCAGATGGAAGTCATGAAGGTCAATGCTAATGAGGTGTCATCTTGCTTGCTATATAGAGGGCGGTCATGGTGAGATTAACTGAAGATGGCGGGTGGAAGAGGGTGTGGACTCTGAGGTTGCAGCCAGCCCCCTCTCATGCTCACCCCTGGCTCTCTCCTACTGCAGCTCTGATCGTGGGCGGCGTGGTAGGCATCCTCTTCGCCGTCTTCCTGATCCTGCTGCTGGTGTACCGAATGAAGAAGAAGGATGAAGGCAGTTATGACTTGGGCAAGAAACCCATCTACAAAAAAGCCCCCACCAACGAGTTCTACGCATGAAGCTTCTTCCCAGGAGTCCTGCTTGGACTTAATGGAGAGAAGACTACAGGATTGTGGACTGTGGGCGTTGGCAGAGCGGGCACCTTAATCCTGACTTGTCAGGGTCTCCATCTCTAGTCACCTTTCTGGTGTCAGAAGAGATATGATCTTCTACTGTGCTGCCTCAGAGAGGGGGGGGGAGAGAGAGAGAGAGAGAGAGAGAGAGAGAGAGAGAGAGAGAGAAGAGAGAAGAGAGAAGAGAGAAGAGAGAAGAGAGAGGACTGAGACTGACTCTTGACTCTGACTGTGTGTATGTGTCTGTGTGTGTCTCAGTTGCCCTGGGAGAAAAATGGGGTTAAACTTGCCCTTTATGAAGGCAAGCCTGGAATTGGGTCTCTTTTTGTTTTGTTTTGTTTTCCGTTCCAAATTTCCAGAATAGAATGGTTTAGATCCTGTAGTGAACGTGTCTCATCTATAACTTCCTTGACTCTAGAGGAGAGGGGTTACTGTGTGAATCTCAGCTCCCTTCCACATGCTGTGTGAACCCTGTCCGTCAGGAGCTAGGGCAAGGAGCCAGGACCCATTGCACCTTGAGATGTGTCCGCCACAAGAGCTTGTTCACGCTACAGTGTCTCCGGTGGGCCTTGGGGAATTCTAGGCTCAGTGACTTTGGAAATTCAACCATTTTTTTTTTTTTGAAATGCAGGGAGGGTGGGGTGACGTGCTGAAAGCTCACGGGGAACTGCATTTGTAGAAGATTTGTAAAAAGCTTTTTCATGGTTCATTCCTTTATGCAAGCCTGGGCTGAGTGTGGGGATGTTCAGATGTTCTATCTAGAACATTTCCATTGCAACAGCTAAGTTTGTGTTTCATGGTTTTTTATGTTTGGTTTTTTTTTTTTTTGAAAATGAGAGAAGAGTTGGAGATACGATTTTTATGATTTTTTTAAACTATTTATAGCTTCAGACAGGGCTGCTTCCCTTCCGCTTCCTTTCTTTACTGTCCCCCCACTATTTTTATTTTATTTTTTCTTTGTTAGTGTTTTGTGCCCTTGTTTTTGACCTTGGCCCTTTCTGAAGTTGCTTTATCTTAAGAAGTAGCTACAGTGTTCTAGCAGTTTCCAGAATATAATGTAGGGGATAGTGGGATATTTGTGTTCTTGTAATATATATTATCCTTCCTTGGTTCTAGAAAAATAAATATATTTTTTTAGGCTATAGAATGGTATTACAGGTCTTCATGTTGGCTGGGTGGTTGCGTGAGTGAGTTTTCATGTTTCTGAAAGGCTGTTGCCCTCTTCTCTTGCCCTGTTCCTGGTGCCTTCTTGTGATTGGGCTGGAGTCGTCGACGGTACCTGACTCTAACCCTCACTGTGCCTTCTGCCAGGGGCCTCAGCAGAGGAGCTCCTGGGTCTGCTTCGTCCAGGCTCTCTAGATACACGATCCCATACAGTGACCTTGTGTGGCTGTATAAATCAGTTCACTTCAGACTATGTGATTGGAAATCATTCCTCGGTTGCACAAGCCACACAATGTTAACCCTCAGTCACCATGCCCTGGGCACCGAGATTTAAGCTGGTTTTAGCAGGTTACTGCTCAACTTTGCCTGTCTCTCCGGGCAAGAGAAGAGGACCAGAAGGAAGGTGATGAGATTCTAGGGACTTCTGTCATCTGGGACTCTGTACAGAGGAGAGACCTAGTGGCTTAAAAGGCCTGGGGTGTTTGGGGAAATCATCATCCCACTCTCTCAACTGTGCCCTGGGCCTGCAAGGAAGGCCCCCGTCACCACCTCCCGAGGGGCCTAGCTGGCTAGGTCCTCTTCTAGCCTTGGTGCCTGCTGCAGCCTTTTCTGTACCCCTCACACTGTCGTCTGTTACTGATTTTTTTGATAAGAAGATAATAAAACCTGGTACTTTCTAGATTGCCAGCCTGCCATTTTATCTTTGGTTTTTCAAGATAGCATTTCTCTGTATAGCCCCGGCTGTCCTGGACCTCACTCTGTAGGCCAGGCTGGCCTCGAACTCAAAGGTCTACCTGCCTCTGCCTCCCAAGTGCTGGGATTAAAGATGTGTGCCATCATACCCAATGCCATTTTAAAGTTTATTTTATGTGTATGAGTGTTCTACCTGCATGTACACACCTGCACTGCCAGAAGAGGGCATCGGACCTAATTATAGATAGTTATGAGTTACCATGTGGTTGCTGGGAATTGAACTCGGGACCTCTGGAAGAGCAACCAGTGCTTGTAAGCACTGAGCTGTCTCTCCAGCCCCGTTTCAAAGGTTGGTTTTTTTTTCAACTCATTCGTTCTGTATTCCTTGAACTTGGTGAAGACTGAGAGACCTTTTGGGGTGCCAGACACGGGCACAGACATGCGACAGCAGCAGGGCTTTGGAGGGGGGGGGGAAAGAGGCTAGAAAATGTGTCTGGTGGTCTGGTGGTCTGGACGGCATAAGCAACACTAGGTTTAAAAACACGAATCCCCGAGGCCTTTGCGATGGCTCAGAGTCTTGAGTACTCATCACGTCAGCCTGAGGACCCAAGTGTGATTCTTGGACATAAAAGGAGAGAACCAGCTCCTGACGTCATGTTCTGACCTCCACAAGTGTACTGTAGAGGTCACACACCCTTGGACACACATACTTAATAAATCAAACTAGTAACAACCCTCAGATGAGTCACTGTCTACACTGTGTATAGAAATCAGGGTACTTCTCAAAATAGTCTTAGAGGTTGAGGAAAATAGACTTTGCCAACTAGCAAGCCTGCACTATGAGAAGTGGCTGAGAGGAAACGGCCCCAGACTGGTTCTTTTTGGTGACATAGTTTCTGCATATTTCCATGTTGCCTGCCTGGTCTCTGTAGGCTGTGCTATAGGTAGTCACACCTGATCATGGTGAGTCTGAGAAGCAGTAGAAGATCCTGTCACCAAGGATCCAGCCTGCTCTTGTCTCTGCAGTGTGAGCCTCAGTGTGTGGCCCGTTGACCTTGGTGATTTGGGTTTGGCACTACTACGTTGCCCCGTGGGAAGAAGCACCCAGAGGAATTACTACACATGCCAGGAACTCAAGAGTTTCACGGTTGGGCCCGTTAGCACAACAGCACAAAACAGCTGTTGTTACAAATGGAAAAACATCATCTGAAAGGTTAAAGAAAAACCAAAAAAAGAAAAAAAGAAAGAAAAGAATGTGTCCAAACTGATAGTTTACCGGTGGCAGAGGTAGGATTTAAATCCATATGGTGAACCTCTGGACTGTACTCAACCACAGTACCTATCAGGGAGTTTACATTACCCAGAGTTCCTTCACTGTGGGGATGCTCATTCCTCACAGTCTCTCTGAGGCAGTAGATGGTCTCATCTCTCTCTAGGGACTGACCCTATGTTTTGTTGCCAAGTCCCTTGGGTGAGTTTCTGGTTCTTGTCACTCATTGCTTTTCCTGAAGTGTGCACTCTGAAGCTGTTAGATCTGCTCAGTTCACACAGTAGCCATCAGCCGCTGTAGCTCTTCCTCAATAGAGTTGCAAAACCTCTTCCTCAAGGCTCAACGGCTACATGTAACTCGTGGCTCCAAGATGGTGTGCACACAGGATGTCCACCATGTAAGGAATTTAAAGTGGACATTGATACCTGCATTTGGACTTCAGATGCCATCAGCTCTTACCTCGATTTCCCAAAGCCTGCAGTGGGGCAGGCTGGAGGTTGGTGGTGTACCAAGTGGCACTCCTTTGGGTAAGATCCTTTGGGTTAGATAATAGCGTAGAAATACTAGTTAACGATTTCTATGGAAACATCGTCCTTAAACATAGAACCTGGTAATGACAGACATCTCTCATGGTTCCTGTGAGTCAGAAACTCAGGAGAAGCTGAGGTGGGAGACTCTAGAGGTGGAGGGCGGGCCTCACACAGTCATGATCCAGATATGGGCTACATTGTCGACATCTGAAAGGCTGACTGGGCAGGAGGATCTATTTCCAACAGAGTGCATTCACATGTCTGGAGACTTGGCTCTAGATGTTTGGCAGGAGGCCTGAGTTGCTCACCTTGAGGATTAGCATAGAAATGTGCGTCCTCGTCCTTGTGACGTGATGTGGCAGCTGGCTCCCCAGAGTCAGTGATCCGAGAGAGCCAGGTAGAAGTTACAGGGCCTTTTATGTCCTAGTTTTGGAAGCCTCACACTTTCCCTTTCATAACGTCTTGTAAGTCACGCATACAGGTCTGTCCTGTTGACTACCACAGAAAAGGTTGCAAAGTCAGGAATGCCAGGAGAGGCAAGACTGACTGGAAGCTCTGCTCGTCACACTTCTTGACTGACCAAATATCTGAGAGAAAGGCGTAGGGATGGATATATTCTGACTGGAGGCAATCTGTCCTTATCTGACTCTGTTTCTGGGCCTTCGATGAGACAAAAACACGGTGCAAAGGCATGCTGGGGCAAAGTCACTCACCTCATGGTATGCAATAAGCAGCGAGAGACATGGAATCAGGGACAAGCATAACTAATTTTAGGGCACACCTGCAGTGACCTACTTTCTCAATCTAGGCCCCACCCCTCCCGTGTACCACCTCCCAAGATGTTCTGTTATAGATTCATCAATGAAGGGGTTAATCCAGTCATTTCCCCCAAACTGTTGGCAACCAAGCCTTTTAAACGTAAGCCTTAGGGAGGTGAACACTTCATAGCCAAATCAAAATAGACAGCATCCTACAGGATGGTGACTGTATACTTTGTCACCTGTCAATCCAACACTGGGGTTAATTTATCTGGCCAACTAACACGTCATTTCTGAGAGCTGAACAGGATTATAGTATTGGGCCACTCTTACCTCATGGTCTGTCAAACTCCAGAGACCATTGGAGCATTGACTTCTCCATTGGACAGTTTCTTATCGAGGCATGGAAAAGTTTACTCGTGAACCCAGTATCTCCTGCCAGTGTTGGCTTTGATGCATCTCGGGGAAGCCTAGACTCCAAGATGGCTGCAACAATTCTTCCCTCCTCCGTGACATACACACTTTTTATAATCCCCCCATCTTTTTCACTCTCAAATATGATTAATTTTTTTTATCTCGTGCATTGGTGTTTTGCCTGCATACATGTGTGTGTGAAGGTGTCAGATCCCAGGAACTGGAGTTACAGGCATTCATGAACTGCCGTGTGGGTGCTAGGGATTGAACCCTGGTGCTCTGGAAGAGCAGCCAGTGCTCTTGACTGCTAAGCCATCTCCAAGCCCCTTATTTTATTATTTAAAGTTATGTGTGTGGGACTGTGTGTGAGTTTTATGTATGAGTGCTAGTACCTTTGAAGGCCTGAGACATTAAATGGAGTTACTGAGCTACGTGAAGTGAATACTGGAAATGGAACCCCAGGCCTTTGCAAGAACAGCTAACCACTGAACCATCTTTCCAGGTCCCTCACTCTCTTCTCTTGATGTGGATAGGATTTGCATATTATGTAGGATGCCACTGGCTTTATAGTAAGTTACATTACATAACACAGGTAAAGGATTTTGCAGATGTATTATTGTCCACAATTAGTTGATTCATGAGTTAGCAAAAAAAGAGTATTCTTGTGGATCTGACTTAGTCAGTTGGCCTCAGCAAAGCAAGGCGCTATGAGTTCAGTAGCTTCAAGAAATTAAATTTGCCAACAGTCACGGAACGCAGAACAGGAGTCATGGGAGACCCTGAGCAGACCAGTTAAGCTGTGCTTAGACTCCATGGAAACGGCAGACAATGTATATGTGTTGTTGTAACCTGATACTTTGTGGTGATTTTATGTAACAGACACCAGTATAGAGAGGTCATTTACCTCCTGTGGGTTATTGTTTTCCCCAGCTGGCCAATAGGAGAATATTCTCCACTTTGAAAGGTGTTTGTATCAGCCAAGCATGGTGGTACACGCCTCTGATTCTAGCACTGGAAAGGCAGAGGTAGGGGGATCTCTAAGTGCTCCTGGCCAGCCTGAGCTACAGAGCGAAATCCTGCCTCCACCTCCCCACCCATAACCAAACAAAAACTAAGAGCAGTGGCCACAGCTAGCCCACAGGTCGTGTGGAAAGGTCTTCTCCTACACTGATTATTTTATTCTTTGTATCTCTTTATGAAGCAGAACCTCAGATACAGAAATCTTAAGGGACTTGAGGCTGGGAGCTCACCTAGCGGATACACATGGCTCTGACTCTGGATCCAGCTACGATTAGAACAGCTTTTCTTCATCTTAAGGAACGTCTGAAAATGTGGATGGGAGTGTAGGGTGTGTATTAAACACATACGATGTCTCCAAACTGGGCAGAACACTCAGTCTGACTACCAGCCAAACTTGGAGATAAATGACTCAAGGAAGAGTTGAATGGGGACAGGCTTCACCTCAGGTGCCGAGGTATCACTTAGTTCAGTTTGGCCTTTAACACACTGTGTACCTAGAAGATGACCTTGAATTATTTTTGTTTATTTGTGGGGTTTTGCTATTGTTTTTTTTTTTTTTTTTTTTTTTTTGGTTTTTGGAGACAGGGTTTCTCTGTGTAGCCCTGGGTGTCCTGGAACTCACTCTGTAGACCAGGCTGGTCTCAAACTCAGAAATCCGCCTGCCTCTGCCTCCCAAGTGCTGGGATTAAAGGCGTGTGCCACTACTGCCCAGCCTCAGTTTTTGTTTTTTTTGATATAGGATTTCTTTGTGTAGCTCTGTAGACCAGGCTGGCTTTGAACTCAGAGATCCATTTGCTTCTGTCTCCTGAATGCTGGGACTACAGGCATTCGCCACCACTGCGGAGAGACCCTGAATTTCTAATACCTCTAATTCTACCTCTTGAGTGCTAGGATTGCAGGCACATGTCACCATGCTTGTTTTCTGCAGTCGGAGATTGAACCTGGCTTTGTGCAGGCTAGGCAATTACTCTACCACGTGAGCTACATCCCCAGCTCCCTGCCAGAATATTCTTTAGCTGGGGTTGATCCATGTAGAACTTGATCTCAAGGCTCTGCCTTCCCCCAGAACTTTGCTTGCACCCCCATCCCCCAACCACCACAGCAAGCAGCCAGCTGCAACAGGTGTTTGCCACTTCACCCATTAAAAGAATTATTGTACCACCGTTAACCTTACTTTGTCCTTTGGGATCTGGAACAGAGCCAGACTTGACTGGGGGAAGGGAGAGGAGGGAGGGAAGGAAGTGGGTAAAGGAGGAAGGCACAGAGAAAGGAGTGGGGGGGGGTTTCAGTTCCCATTCTTTTCTCCCTTGACATCTTCATAGTCAGTGCTCTCAGCCGCCACCAGCATCCTCCCCAGGAACAGAATGTCTTAAAATCGCACCATATTATCCTTTCTCTTTGTAGACAACCTCACTTAACAGAGACAAACGCCAGAGGGTCACCCCAAGGTCAGAGCTTTAACCACAGTCTTTCTTGGTGGCAGGACTTCTGACTTGTGAGAGATGGGAACCGACTCTCTTCGGTTTTGTTTGGCATCCCCCTACCCTATCCTACCTGAAGCACACATGTCCAGCTGTAGCCTAGCGTGGTGTGACAGCTAGGAGAACCTCAGAGCCCAGACTTTGGGTCAAGGGTGCAAGACTCAAATCAAGGACAGGTTGTGTCATCAGCCTGCTATGAGCTTAGCCTCTCCTCGCCTGGAGCCTCAGTTTACTCATCTACAAAATGGGGAGAGAATGTATACTAGGGTAGTGATCCCCGGCTTTTCACTTTTTGTTGGAGGACTCTACACAGATCCCAATCCAATTGATCTGCTTTTTTTTTTTAATTTTATTTTTTAACAAGATCATTCTAGCTGTCCTGAAACTTATTATGTAGACCAGGCTGGCCTTGGACTTACAGAAATCTGTCTGCCTCTGTCTTTAGAGTGCTGGGACAAAATGTGTTTTCCACCATGCTTGCTAAAGATAGCTAATTTTTATAACTAACTTGCTGAGTCTAGTGAAGTAATCAAACCCACAGGTGGACTTTAGGAACTTGGTAAATTTCTTGGAGCTATATGGAACTGAGCATGTAAACTTCCAAAGAAGCCCAAGGCCGTGAAAACAATTACCTTGAAGGATTCCAATTACCTTGAAGGATTCCAACTGTTTTTTTTTTTAACACCCTCGGTTATGTTTGTGAAGGGAACAGTGCCACCTGGTGGTTTTTCTTTGCATTTGCAAGCCATTATCTGTCAGCGCAATGCCATTCCTTAAACAAGGAGCCCTGGCTTATTGTGCAAGGCATTGTGATGCAGAGAGACAAACAAACATATAAGTAAATTATAATCTTATTTTCATATAAACATTATGGCCTAGAGGTGACAGCTCATACAGGAGTCATAATAGAAGACCTGTAGCCCTGGCTTCATGAGTCTGTAAAGTCTTTCGAATCAATCTGGCCCCAAGTTCATCGTCTCCTGTCTCTGATTGAGATTACTAGTGAAAGTTGAACAAGGGGCTCATGAATTTTCACTTTAGACTGGAAAACTGGGAGATCCTATAGCCTTCTCCTGGCTCTGGAAAGCATAGTCGTTGTGATATGGTATGGAGGTATGCCGTGGAAGAAGAGATAGGGTCCCCACGCTTAGATGATGAGATTTCGTGCTAGAGGAGCAGATGGAAGATTCAGTGCCAGGGGGAAGATGGAGAGGGAAGGATTTGATGCCAGCTGACTCAGACCCTGGTAAAGGAGTATTCCATGGATCAGCTCCGCAGCTGGAACTCAAAACAGGACAAAATTGGAGTTCTGGGCTCAGACTTTTAGGTGGGCCCATGGTTAGAAGGTCTCCTGAGAGAGCTAAAGACCATAGGATGCATGCCTGGGGGTGAGGTTCAGCAGGGAAATCTCAGAGGCCGATGGACTGAATGGTCCCCTCGAGGTACAGCATGACCCCTTTCTTCTCTTCCTTCTTGTGTCAACGTCACCATGGATCGATGACACAAACTATGTGAGGCAGTGCACTTCATGTCGGGGACACAGCTCATCAGAAATGTGCCCTGTATTTTTTAGCCAAGATTCATTGTCTGGGGCCACAGGAACAAGCTTCTTCTGTGCCTTTTGTGGTAAATTTCAACTTGTCAATAGCAGATGACAGAAATCAATGAAGAAAACAACAATAACAACCCAGAAAGAAATCAGTGACTACTCTATGAAGTCTTTTTGTTTGTTTGAGACAGGGTTTCTCTGTGTAGCTTTGGCTGTCCTGAAACTCACTCTGTAGATCAGGCTGGCTTCCAACTCAGAGACTGGCCTGCCTCTCCCTCCTGAACACTGGAATTAAAGGTTTGCACCACCACCACCCTGTCATTCTATGGAGTCTTATGAACAAACTTATTGCTGCTTTCATATGGGACTTTCCACATTTGGGGGCCAAGTGGTGGCAGGAGGGGGTTACAGGAAATGAACTCTTCCTCCAGGGGTTAAGTTCCAGATCATTAGAGCTTGGAACCCACATTTCAGATGAGATCTGGCATGTTCAGGGTCTAATGGCTGTAGACTGACCTCGTATTTCAAATCAGTTCTACTGTACTTCAAATCAAGACCAGAGACTGACATCATTATACCTAGTATCTTTGGTTTTCACAGCCCAAGGCAGGATCCTATCTAGTTTCCTTTTCCATATAGGCACAGCGTGAGCAGGGTAAGGCTAACCAGAGACGGGCATGAACCCCAAATACAGAGGTTCACTTCTCAGTTCCATCACTGTCCTGTTGTCCCATGGCTTCTGTCTGCCTGGTCCTGGGAAAGATACATCCTATGCTTGTTTCTGACTCTGCAGTGTTTTCTTGTTTGGTGTGCTCATTTGAATATGCTTGGCCCAGGGAGTGGCACTATTAGGAGGTGTGGCCTGTTGGAGTAGGTGTGTCACTGTGGGTGTGGGATTTAAGACCCTCATCCTAGTTGCCTGGAAGCCAGTCTTCTCCTAGCTTCTCCTTTCTTCAGAGGAAGATGTAGAACTCTCAGCTCCTCCTGCACCATGTCTGTCTGGATGCTGCCACGATCCCACCTTGCTGATAATGGACAGAACCTCTGAACCTGTAAGACTTCATAGAGTAGTCACTGAACCAGCCCCAGTTAAATGTTATTCTTGTAAGAGTTGCCTTGGTCATGGTGTCTGTTCACAGCAGTAAAACCCTAAGTAAGACATAGAGAGTGTCACCATAGGGCAGATAGATGCCTCGCTCTAAGAGGGACATCATGGGGTCAAGGCCCAAGACACTCTAGTAACTTGTTTTCAAGTAAGGACAGAGGTGTCTGGAGAACAAATGCCGTAGGCTTGGTTCCTCAGAATTGGTCACCGACACAGGAAGAGCCAGAAAGAGACAAAGACGGAAGAATAAAACTACAAGGGCTACGAAAACAGGAAGCACGCATACCGTGAAGACATCTGAACTTCACTCATGATTGACAGTTACTGTATGTCTGAGGACACCAAGTGGCCTGAAGCCAGATGAGATATCTCCCTCCCTCCTGCTCTTTTGTAGCACAAGGCAAGGGACGCCCTGAGGGATAGCTGCTAGCAGGCCGGAGCCAGCCTCAGTGGCACTGCCTAGGTGGGGCAGAAGAGGTGGAAGTTGGTGCGTGTGAACTCGTGGTGGATGCTCTCCAGAAGTGCGTCTGCGTCGGGGGCAGGCTCTTGGGCGTTGGGCGGCCGTGGTCGCGCGCTGTATTCTGGGGTGTAGGTGAAGGAGAAGGCGCTGGGGTAGAAGAGAGCATCTCCGCGCAGCAGGCTCACGGGCACGGTGATGGGAGTGCGCAGCCAACGCCAGTCGCTGCCAAAGGCCGCCACGTCCGGCACCACGCACACCAAGGACCGAGGGCTCCTGCGGGTGGGGCATGGAGGTTGAAGCCAATCATAAACATTCTAGTCTCTGATCCCTTGGCCCAAGCTGCCCCCTCTGCTTATCTGTACCTGTACATGGTTTCTGCCTCCACATCTCCGAACCACACCTTTAGCCCAGCGTGGAAATTTTCTCCGTGCAGCTCCAGCGTGGCCACATCACCTCCACCGCTCAGCTGGGGGGTGGGTGGGTGGATGGGACCAGATGTAGGTGACTAGGGAGTGGTAGTGGGGGTAGAAGGAACCTCCTACCCTCCCTCGACAGCCTCCCCATTCATAGAGCAGGCAGGCAGGCAAGCAGGCAGGCAGGCGGGCAGAGGCGGGCAGAGGCGGGCAGAGGCGGGCAGAGGCGGGCAG